GAGAGAGAGAGAGAGAAAGTCAACAACATCCTGTTTGAGCAGTTATTACTGAGACAGTGACTGACAGACTCCGTAATGTGTAACACACACACACACACACACAGTAGAAAGCCCGTACCTCCATACATGATGGTGGCGTTGCTGTTGAAGACCAGCCTGCACTGGTCCAGGGCAGGGACTGTGTGCAGGAGGTGGAAGGTCCTCAGGTCCCACTGAAACCGGCTGTCAAGGCTGACAAACTGCAGCTGGCCACACTCATGCACCTCTTTAGACGTACTGACTGTTAAAAACTGTAATTAATCATCTGATTATCCACATTTAGATTTCAGATGTTCAGAGGATACAATCTCCGTGTTGACGATGACCTCGAGGCCGTTGGGATGGAAAACGCCGCTGATGTTCATGTTGAACTTGTCGAACTTATGAATGGCCTGCGACGCCCGCACGTCCCAAAGCACCCCGTCATTCAGCACCAGGTCATCGGTGGGGTTGAAGGTGGCGCAGTTCCTCTTGTAGTTATTGGCCAGGGCGGGGTCGTTCAGGGTCAGAGTCTTCTGACCCGTCTGGATGTCGTAGATCTGGAAATACGAAAAACATATTTAAAAGAGAGGAACTTAAATGTTGAATGAGTATTGGGGCGATTTTTCCTCATTTTCCTACATGCCACGCATTAAAGATTAGAGGAAATTAGTAAAATACTAATAAGAAATAAACAAAGAAACAGTTAGAGATGAAAGGTTACAGAGGATGTCCATAGGAGGACGGTGAACTGAAGAAAAAGGGACAGCAGCGAGTCGTAACGTACGTGTGCGACTTGGTCCTTGGTGCCGATGACTCTGTCCTGAGAGAGTTTACTGAACTCGACGTAGTGGTCGTCGACAAAGGAGTTCCTGAGAGAGAAAGCAAACACTTCATCATGAGAAACAGTGGACTAAAAAGGTGTAAGGTGTAAAGGTGCAAAGGTGTAAAAAACGGTGAGTGTGTGTGTGACAGTTTTACTTCATGCTAAAGACGCTGTCCATACTCCAGAGAGCAGACAGCGGGACGCTCCATGAGGCTGAGGTGAGCAGCAGTTTCCCATCCTGAGAAACAAACACAACTTTGAATGGTTTCATTTTAATACTTTTACAAAACCTACATTCAAAAGTAGAGCTGCAAATAATAATTATATTCTAGATTAATCAATTAACCATTTGGTTTGTAAAAAGTCAGAAAACAAGGTGACAAAAGTGTCATTTTTTCTGGCTTTTTTAGACCTTTATTTTATACATTTCATTCTAACAGTGTGTGTGTGTGTGTGTGTGTGCTTGTGTGTGTACAAACGCACCCTTGCAGGTTCGAGGTGTGTGATGGCTGACGTGTGGCAGGTGTAGTTGGCCACCTCCTCTCCAGAGAACACGTTGTAGAACTTGAGGTGACCCGAGCAGGTTCCCAGCATCAGGAAACGCTCGCGGGCTGAAAAGGCACAACAGGTGAAACCGCTCTCGTCTCCGTCGCCCTCGTGGAAGACCGACATCGGACGAAACCTGAACGGAGATTGTAAAAAGAGAGAAAAAGGCCTCAGACTCTTTCACTCTGCCAGGTGAAGTGTTCAACCCTCAGTGTCCGTTCATTACCTGCTGAATATGAGATGTCGATCCAGACACCCTCTATCCACGCCTCCGTATTTCGGGTACAGCACCCTGCTCCCCAGGCGGGCGGTGAAGTTGGGCGATGCCTGTCGCCTCTGCTTTGGCTCGGGGCAGCGGTGAGGGGTGAAAAGGGAAAAGGGGGGGCAGGTGGTGACGGGATTGGGGCAGCGGGCGTGTTGTTCCCTCAGGTACTCGGTGATGATGCTGTCGAGGGTCGGCGGGGAAGGAAGGTGGCGCTCGAGCTGCTTCTTCATGGCTGGAGTCTGAGGAAGAGAGAAACAAGGGTCAGGAGCTGATCCTGAGTCTGATCCTACTACACTCCTCTCCCTGTGTTGGTGTATGACTGACCTGTATGAAAGCACCGTGGTCAGACTTCTGCTTCAGTGCGCGAAGCTTTTTCCCTGAGCTGCAATGGGCGACCGGGCGTTCCCGTGTGAACAAAATTCGTCCGACCAGAGGCGAGCCCTGCACGTGAGGTCCAAGATGAGGAGGAGGAGGAGGAGGAGTGGGGAGGACAGGGGTAGACGAAGAGGAGCATGAAGGGTGAGGAACGCTGTGTGAACGAGCTGAAGAGGGAGTGGTGGAGGAGGCTACGGCCACTGAGGAGACGGGAGAGGAGCCAACGTGGCCGGCTAACCGAGCCGCGATCCCGCCAGCTAACCGGCAAGTCCTGGGAATCACTGAGGAGGAGGGCGGGGGGGTGACGCAGGAGGAAGAGTTCGGACAGTGGGTTCCGGCGGGTAAATTCGCCTCTTTAACGAGCGTGTTCGCCGTGTCATGGAGCCCCTTGGCCACGAGGTGGTTTCTGATCAGCATGAGGAGTTCCTTCTCAGAAAAGGTGATCCGGGACTGGGCGACCACGTTGGCCCTCTGCAGGCGAGCCAGTGAGACGTCGGAGCCCATGAGCAGAGGCTTCCCCGACACTCGCTCCGTCAGCTCGGCGGCGTACCGGCAGAAGCGGACGTGCTCGCTTCGTTTGTCCTGCAGCACCGGCTCTTTCATTAGCTAGGGCGGTAGAAAGAACAGCACATTAAAAGAGGTTGTATTTCTTCATGTGGGTGAAATCAAACATGAGAATAAACTGGAAATCAGGAAACACAAACCTCTACTATGGTTGTAGAACCCTACAAATTTGTTTCTGAATTTAAAAGTATAGTAGTAAGTAAAGTAACTTTTATTATCTGCATTCATTCTGGAGTGGTGTTTTTTAACCACAGCGACAGATTTGATCTGAATCTGCCCAAACAGTGTTTTTCTCCCAATTAAGCTCTGGTTCTTGAACCGGTTCTGTTTAAGATTCTTGGAACGTTGCTAACTACAGAACCAGCCCACATTTCCACCAGTTTTTATCAGAACCACTGTGATCAAGGAACGACCTACAGAATAAGACAGTCTGACACTTAAGGTCAAGAAACGTGCTATTTTTGGTTCCAGCTGGGAACTTTAACAATTCATACACATATTTAAACTATTTATATTTGGTCAAAAAATGCTCAGATTGGTTAAAAATAAGGCGCACAAACCGGGACAGAGCTGGTTCCATCTTAGTGGAAAATGAGTCCACACTCAAGCTAGCAGCTCTTTTCTTACAGACTTTGATCTGACTGCAGCTTTAAACTTAACTGTAGTTCAGTATGTTAGCATCCCTAAAAAAAGTCATCACTTATTCTGTTGCCTTTGTTTCATTACCATGTGTTAATCACACAGTAGCTCTGCACTTGTGCTGACCTGTTGAATGTGGCTGCTGGTGAAGAGCGGCAGTTTGCTGATGATCTGTCTGATGGCCGAGCTGCGAGAGAGTCCGACCAGAGCCTTGCAGGCCAGAGAGCGGATCAGATCTGCATCTGTGATCGGCATCTTCACCGACAGCAGAGACAGAAGCACCTGGAGAGACAGAGGTGATGTTATTTTCTCTTCATGTACAGTAATACTTAAGAATCCAACATAAACCCGTATTAGCTTTCATTCTTACCTTTATACCATTGTTGTTCTGCACCATTTGCCACATGTGGGCCAGCACTCTGTTGTGGGGAGCGGGGGGCTGCTGGGGGTGGAGGGACGGCCTAAGGGGGGCGACAGCAAAAGCACCCACAGTGTTCAGGCTCTGGTCTGGAGCGCACACACAGTTTGTTATCACCTGGGGTGGGACAGGGGAGAAAGAGGGTTGGCAGACAAACAAACAAACCCAGAAAGAACACAAACTGATAACCACCACGCTGCGTTCACAGCTTCATCTGATAATATATTGCTTCTGTTGGTGTCAGTAAGTTTAATACAACCTCCCCTACTGCTTACTTGTAGTGCAGACTTCTGGATCTCAGCATCATTGACAAACACTTCGCCCTCTGCGACACCCAGAATGATGCTCATACCTGCAGCAGATACAAGAGACACGTTGACGCACGTCCAGAGAGAGAGAGAGAGATCCAAAGGCTGAAAGTTCACAGTCAAACAGAACCGAAAGAGAAAACTGAGTTGTACCGACCCACAGTGGAAACAGGAGATCTGGTTTCATCCAGAACCTCCACAGTGTCCGCAAGCACCAACTGGACTTTAGGAACCACCATCAGGATGGCCAGGATGTCCAATGCGTAACGCACAGTGTCGCTCCTGGACAGACAGACAGACGGAAAGAGCTGCAGCTACATGTCGCAAATGTGTCACTATACGAGGAAGCTGTCATAACCTGACTGCTTATCCAGTCTGAAGCCACATTTTACCATCCACTGTTTAGATCTTGGTGCTTTGTAACTCTAGATTTTATCGGCCGTCTGGATTTTAAGTTATCAGAGAAACAAGCTGAGCTAACGTTAGCAGCAGCTCGGCTCGCTCTACGTAAACTTTGATGCCAATTCTTTTGTACTTTTACGTAGTATTTCTACACTGCAGTATTGTTTCTTTTAATAAAGGATCGTCCACCAATGATGCCGTACTTGTGTGTGTAACTTTACCTGCCATAGTAAGTCCTCCAGTCACAGGCTGTAGATATGAGCTGCAGCATCAAAGGGACGCAGGACAACTTGTAGAAGACCTCTACCGGTTCCCAGTGGAGCTGAGGAGGTCCGCACTCGATGAGAAACTCCATCATCTCAATAACCTGCTCTCTGGTGTACGTGTATGCCTGGAAACAGCAGGTATATATTAAAGAAGAGGAACACGGCGTCTTCTTTACAGATTTTTTACTTCTTTTAATTCATTTCTGTACAAACACGCTGATGATAAATAAAGCAAGCACCTTGTAAAATGGCTGCTGGGGAACGACGGTGCCTCCGTCTGACGAGTGCAGGGACTGTTTGACCTGTTCAGCCTTTACTGCCAGGTGAGCCTCAAAGAACCTGAACAAAGTCATCAGTTATCACACTACACCCTGAAATAGGACCCAATCGTATGACACTCTCTTCCACATTTTGCTGTAATTTTTGGTCGTTTAACACACACAGATACACATGGTGGACAGCTGAACTGGGTAAAATGAAGGGTAAGTTGACAACAACTCGAGAAAAACCTTAAAAAAAAAGTAGAAAAGTGATATTTCATCTTCTTTACACAGCCACAGCACTTTTGTTAAGCTAATAGCAAATTGCAAAACTGTCAAGATGTGCAGTGTTTTTTCTCTTATCAGAAAAGAGCTTCTGTGCTGTCTGTGCACTGCCTGCGTAAAAAACACTACGTGGACACAAAACTCAACTACAGATATCAGTCTTTACACTTTGTTCGACATTTTAAAGTAAAGTCACTGCTGCTGAGTTTAACTATATACAACATTTTTTTAAAAGCGTGACGATAAAACATATGAAGGAAAACTGGGACACTGGCCTCTTCATACACATTCGTACACTTCTACCCATCTATCTATCTACTGTACCTGCGTAGGGCCATGCAGGTGTGTTTGGCTGTCTGTCGGCTGGAGAACACCTGGTCGTCACTCATTATGGACACCTCACTGTCTGTGTTGAGGATCCCCAAAGTACTGATCTACAGGGAGAAAAGGAGGCATCAAAACGAAAAGGTTTCCAATGAAGAAACACACCACAATTCATTTAACAATGATATTTTAAAAAATGCTCCACATTTAAACATTTAAAGATTCAGTCCTGACCAAGTTGACCAGCCTGCGCAGGCCGTCCTGTTGGTCGAAGAGCTGCAGCACCGCTCTGAACGAGAAAGAAATGGAGAAGAACATGGTGGCGTGGCAGACGCCTGAAGCGTGCGACGACTCCAACAGCCACAGAGCGTAGGACACCATGTCTGACAGCACCCCGTCTGCGAGCGTACACACCTACAAACACACACAGAGTAGAGATAAAGAACAGGACACAAAGGCTCAAACCTCAGCCTGCTCACTCTGCCTCTGTTTGTGCTTTTAAACGGAGGGTTTCACCTCAATGAGGAGAGGAGGTGGACCATAAAACTCTAAGACTCTTAAGTTTTTGACCGTGTGATGAGAATGTGTAACAGATAATAACATTATAAGTATGAATATAAGATCAAGCTGGTAGCAGACTGAGTTTGGATCACCTGTTGTGAGGTTGTAATTAATATTCAAATAAACACATATCCCACAAGTTCCCCACAACTTGAATTTAATTCAGTAAATACAAGATACTCTGTGTTTTAACAAGAAAACATTAGCAGCTAAAATAGCCTCAATCTCTGTTTGAGGGTCTTATACTCAAACTAATTGTGTGTGTGTGTGTGTGTGTGTGTGTGTGTGTTAGCTGTACCCTCTCCATGGCATCTTGATTGTATGCCAGGTAGTACAAGCAGAGTGAAACTCCAGTCGCGGCCATCGACGGCCTCGGGATCTGCAGAAGTTTCTGCACTCCTCCGTGAGCGATGAACTCTGCTGCAAACTTCTTATGGAGGAGCAGGGAGGCGAGATACTGAGGAGAGACAGAAAGAGACAAACTCACAACTTTAATTTCATCCAGAGACACTGAACAGCAAACTAATCAGTTCATTAGTGATCATGTGTAATACATGTGCCCAACTGTACTCCAGTGGACAACAGTTGTATACAGCACACCATGAATGTGAAATCTGATCTAAACTCACATTGGTGAATCGATAAAGAGACAGTGAACACATCATACGATTGGGTCCCATTTCAGTACCACACAAAGTCAAAGAAAGGAAATATACAAGTAAAACAGTTTAAACTGTCTATAAAATACTGTAAAACAGTTTAAACTGTCTATAAAATACTGTTAAACAGTTTAAACTGTCTATAAAATACTGTAAAACAACATCAGTTGGGCTGTAATGTGGACTGTTACAAGGGTTCGAGCCTAAAGACTAAAACACGGACAGTCGAACAACGTGCATCAAATAAGCCGGCTCCATTATCTTCTATGTATAACTTCACACACTGGCAGCAGCTTCACGCCACCGTCCGATTTCCAGCACCGCCACTCTGAAATTCTCACTTATAAAAAGGCAAAAAAGACATTAACCTGGAGAGTGATTGCTCTTCAGGTGAATTCAAATAGTGTCCACACATCATTTTAAGCTAATGTCTTATGGTAGACATTTTATGTAGTACGATCAATTATAGGATAAAACAAGTAACAGCGCTGTTAAAGTGGGACAACTACGCCACCTGCTGCTGTTAATGTGCGACAGCATTGTGCAGTATCCTAAAATGTCTGTTTGGATAGAAAACTGCAAATCAACAAATTGTTTTCATTTTTTTATTTTAAAAACAACTAAAAATAATAACAATTTATAATAATAGTAATAAACAACTGATTTAACTAATTATTTACTTTTTAATGACTTCAATAAGTTTATTATTTGTTTCTTGGTACTGTGTATGGAAGGCCAATTACAATATTCCAGATGTTTGTAAATGAAATTATTTAGTATTTTAATACTCTGCTTATGTTAAACTTATTTTTCATTAAAAACTAGAGAACAGTTTTGTGGTGTAAAAGATAAAGTTGGCGGTCTTTAAAGAGCTCACAGTCCCACCCACAGAGCTTATCGTTCACACACAGACTCCTCTGAGGGAAGGGACTGGATCACGAGTTAGATAACTGCTGCTCGGCTGGTTCAGGCCTCAATCGATACTATATACAAACACTACATTTACACAGTTGAGAGAGACTGATATGTAAAGCTGATCCTAATTAAAAAAAAAAAAAATACAGAGCTGTTCCAAAGTTCACTGATATAAATTGATTTAAAATACTTTTCCTTATACGATGGTTCTTTGTGTTTTAATAGAAGTTTTAATAGTCTTACCAGGAGGGCGTCAAAGGTGAGCTGGACATTTCTGGTCTGCCTGAGGTCGATGTAGTTCATCAGCAACGACCGGGTGTCCAGCTGCATGAAGACGGCAAGCAACTGCAGAGGAGAGAAACATTTTTGGATTTCCAGTTGATACATGAAGACGAAGGTTTGAGTAAAACCTAAAAGGTTTAAAGATGGAGAGGAACTTTAGTTTAACTTCAGCATCTCATACTGTGCAGTACAACGTTGATATATTACACATTTTAATGTGTCAGTTTGTCTTTTTATCCAATTTTAAAAGGGAACTTCACTGATTTTACACATCAGCGTGTGTTGGCGGGTTCAACTGTACATGTGAAAGCTTATATAAAGCCTTTAGTCTCTCCAGAGGGAAACAGCCTCAAGTGATGTAGGACCCTGAGGACACACTGATTACTGCATATGTGATTTGCCAAATGTTTTCAGCCACTGTGACTGTGACTCTATACTTTATGGCTAATAGGATTTGTGACAAACAGAGTTGAACCCTTCCTTCAAAACCTTCTGGATTAAACCAAGAAGAAATACCTTTGGAATTATGGACAGATGTTCATATTCATAAGTTCATAAGTTTGTGACCTTGGAAATAAGAATTCCGTCCTTTTTGGTTTGTTTAAATGATTTGAGTTCACAGACACACAGTTTATTTGTATTATTTGGATCCGTAAAGAGCCGGTCGTAGTTCTCACCTCCTGGTAATCTCCGAGCGGTGTCAGGTACTGCAGGATGAGCCTCTGCTCCATGGCCGAGCTCAGCGGCTGCAGGCTGTAGTCAGAGCCGATCACCATCGAGCTCATCTCAGACCAGGAGGTGCTGTTGGCCGGCTGGTCGCCAGAATCGTTCCTCTCCTCCTCCTCCTCCTCCTCCTCCTCCTCCTCAGTCCTGCAGGAGGAGGAGGAGATGTAGTTGAGTTTCTGCTTGGCCTTCCTCCCATTCTCCTTTGCTGCCTGTCTCTTCCCTCCTCCTCCTCCTCTTCCTCCCTGCCTGTCCTCCTCCTCCCTGGAGGCGGGGTCGGGGCTGGCTTGGTAAGCAAAGTCTGGAAGCAGTCGGTTCGAGCTGGATCCACCACTGCTGTTGCTGTCGCCATTCTGCGACGGAGGTCTGGAATTGGCCGTTGACGCCGAACTCTCTCCTTCCTCTTCCACATCTTCCCCCTCCTTCTTGTCTTGCGGGTCTGTTGAGATGTTCGAGGTTTGGGTGGCTTCAACCTGAGAGTCCTGAGGTAGATTTTGAGGCGTCGAGGTGGGACTAACGTGATTCTTGGCCTCTTCAGTTTGCAGCTCGTGCAGGCGCCGAATCATGATCGGTACCTGGAGGTTCGGAGGGAACAAAGGGACGTTATTAGAATCACAAAGAGGTTTTCAGGTTGTGGGTAATTATACTTTATACCGAGAGTGGGGCCGGGATGATGACGGATGTTGGGTGTGTTTACGTTGTTTTCGGTGGTGTGGTGAGACCCACCAGCTGAGCGTTCTCCTCTCGGTAGCTGGCCGCCACCTCCTGGTTGCTCATGGCTCTGGCCAGCAGGCCCGTGGCGTAGACGCACAGCGGTCGCTCTGCTTCACGAGCCCAGGTGAACAACTTCGCAACCAGACCTTCCTGTCTCACACACACAAGTAATAAAAAGGTAGTTAAGAGGCTTCAGTAACATCAACCGTTGCTATATCGCATTAAACTGAAAATGCATTAATATGTTCAAATGAGAGTCAATTGTTTGGGACTTGATCATCATGATCGGAGCTGCAAAGATCCTCACTCCATCTGTTTTACTTTTTAAAAGATCTCTGATGAAGTCTCTGATTTATCTCCTTAAGTTGTACCTTCTCTTGGAAGACGACGGCGGTCTCCAGGCCCGGCATGATGTTCTGAAGCAGGCGGCAGGCTGCTGTGTTGAGGTTCAGCTCTCTGCTGGTCATTACATACGTGTCCAACAGCTGGAAAACAAACACAGAAACAATCAGTCAGTTTGTCCATCTATAGAAAATTAATCAGTTTGACTATTTTGTCATTTTCAAGCAAAATAAATCTGGTTCCAGTTTATAAAATGTGGAGATTTTCTGCTTTTGACATCAATAAAACAAATAATGAATTGTGGGAGAGAGTTTTTCTTTGCCTGCAGTATTAGTTGGTTATCAGCTTTCTTGTGGTTTTAAGTTGTTTATTTATAATAAAATCCATGTCGTTTGGATTCAAGAAAGTTTTCTTTGATTTATTTTCATGTTTACTCCCCTCATCCCGTGTCTGTCTGTCAGAGTGAGGACAACGTGCACACAGCCTTCACAAACCACATCACATGACTCATCAGTAACACATTCGGCCGTCCTCACCGCATTAGTGAAGTCATCATTCATAAAGAGCATCTTCAGGAGCTGTCCCAGCATGCAGTTTGGGTCTGCCCGTCCTGGAAAAAGTCACACAGGAGTCAGAAAGTCAACAACCAATCACAAAGAAGGAAGCTTCAGTTCAGAAACCCTCATCCTGACATTAACAGCCAGCGAGGACACAGAACTGGTGTAAAAGTGGAGATGGTAACCTGGGTGACGGTCATCGAACGGATCTGGATCTGCTTTGTGATACTCGCCCGTCTCCCGCTCAATCAGCTCGGATATTCTGCAGAACACAAAGAAGAGACACATTCAGCGCGGGCGGGTCTGACTCCATCTGTGCCTCATCAGATAAAACAGTCCCTGCTGACTTGGTGAGGATGGACACCAGTTGCTCTGTGGTGCCTTGCTGGGCTTCTTCCCACTCGTCCAACAGCGCCGCCAGATCCGCCTTGGAGTCCACCGCCGTGGCCACCGCCAGAGCAGCCGACACGGCCGCCGACAACGCGGACGACAGGATGGCCGACACGGAGGCCGGCGGGTCTTCGTCCGGGGAAGACATCGCTGCCTGGAGGAAGAGGAGGAGAGAGAGGGGATGACACATGAGGCCGTCTGCAGAGTACAGAACTGTTTGAGGGCAGAACGATCCTTTTATGATCTGATGCTCTTGTGCTGAGCGACCTGATATCTTTAAATATGAGTCTGAGTAGGAATACAGATTAAAAAGAGACAGTTCACCCTGAAATCTGAATATTCTGAAGAGCAGAATATCACATTTAAACATTTAAATGAACGCAGGTATTGTGACAGCAGCTGTAAACAGATGTGTGAGCTGCAGACTCTCTGATAAGTGACGACTGACCAACGGGGTTGGGAGGATGACTTTTAATATGTGTACGTTACTTTGGGATTACCTCAAAGCAAATAAAACCAGAATAATAATCAATAAGGAGTATTGATGGATCCTATAAGACAGCAGAACAATGAGAGACATTAGAAAAGAAAATGGAGAATGGAAACAGCTGTCGTCTGCTGTCCAATAATAATAATAATAGTTATGACTTAAACATATAATGTGTTTATGAGCTTTTGTATGTTTATTTTAATGTTTCTGACTGCAGATGTAAATTATCCCGTGTATATATATAATAAAATGTGCCACATTTACATATTTAAGTCTTTGTTTAATGATCTTTTTTACCTTAAAGGTCCATAATAACAGTGAACTCTCTCAGGATCTTTTTCACTCTTTTACTCTGAAATAATGTCATTGACTTAACTTTAAAGGTTTAATGTCACATCGACATTTTATTTTGTTATTTTAACGACATTTTATTGTTTTTATTGTGTTAATTTCCACGAATAGTCACTTTTTTGTTTCTATGTGCAGTTCCAATGTTGCAGTGTGAAGCACTTTGAGATGTGTTAATTAAAGTGCATTGTTCTGTATAAATATAATATCATGAGTCCTGTATGATAACACCACCACTGAGTGAGATTATTATAGTTATTCAG